AGTGGCTAAGGCACTTGACTGCTAACCAGAAGGCTGGCTGTTCAAGCCCACCAGCCACTCCTCAGAAGGAAGATGGGGCAATCTACTTCCGTAGTGATCCTGCCTCAGAAACCCAAGAAGAGGTTGCTATGAGTCGGGTTCGACTTGACAGCACATAACAATGACAACAACAACAACATCCTTTCCATTATAGTGTTGCTTTTGTGAACTGTACTTCAGTAGAAATGTATTATTGGTGTTTTAAGTCTAGGAATGTTTGTGCTTCTCTTAAATATTAAAAGTTTGCCTCAGAGGACTGTCAGAAGACCTGGAGTCTATTCCTGCCTCTGGAAGTATCTCTTAGTCTTTTGTAATGCTGATGAAGACAGCTTCCTTATTTACCTTTTCAGTGTTGCTGGGAATTAGACAGCTACATAGTTTACTGCCAAATTTACACATTTTGTTTGTTCTTTCCTTTGAGGAAAGGCCTTGTACTTTAGTCAACTTTGTATCCCTCAGCACTTAACATGTGTGATGCGTAAGTAGATAAACATGTTTATCTGATGATGATTACAATGAACTTCTCTCTTTCAATAAAGAAATTGAGGTTCAGAGTGGTTTTGGATTTATCCAAGATCTCATAGACAGACAGTGGCAGAATCAGTCAAGAACTCAGATTTCTTCTCTTCTAGACCAAATTTTTCTTCTTACTCATTCCCAGCTGCACTGCAGTGCTCTACAAATTCAAGATGGACTAGTCTACAAAGAACTACATCTTCTTACTGTTTTATACCAAGTACTATCTGTAGAAAAACTTTTAGTGTGTATTTGGCTCTGATTGTGCGCAAAAGTTCTTAGTCATATTAGATTTGTCTAGGCTTAATTCATTATGCTGTCTTCAAACCTAGGTTACAAGAGCATTCTCTTTCTCCAAAACTCCAAAAAGAGCTCTTCGAAGGGCTCTTATGACAGCTCATAGCTCAGCAGAGGGAAGAAGCCCACCCAGCAATGACAAGCATGTAGTGAGTCGTCTGTCTAGCACATCATCATTAGCAGTAAGTGTCTTTGATTTCATGGGTTAAATGGTACTCATGTTTATGGAGTTGGTATGCAACTTACTAACTTTTTAAAAATGGAAATTTCAATACCCATACCATTTTTTGCATTTCTAACCTCTTTATAGGCTAAAGGCAACTGAGAATTAATTACCTTACTGTTAATGAACACTTAATGTATAGTTGTTAGATACAAATTTTGTTGGGATTTGAGATATATTCTAAAATTTCTAAGGAATATTACCAGTCTGACCTACTACTTTGCTAGGGAAGATAGTAATCGTTCTGTCCATACAGATTGGTTCCAGTAACAGAGCAGAGACCGAGTTTTTTTCTTTCACTATTTTTGTGAGTAGAATATGATCTCTGCAAAAATATGAATTTCAAAGAATGTTATAGGTTGTAAAAGTTTTGTATTTTTTTAATGTTTCCTCAACAGTTGACATTCCCAATTGGCTCATAATTATTCAAAATTTCTAAAGTTCATTATTATCACTAAGTGTATGTGTGTATATATATATCTGTTCTTTGTAAAATTACCAGCCTAATCTTCCTCAGGTTAAGAAAACTCAGTGAGTGTCACTTTTTAATTATGTGTCCCTAGGCAAGTTTTTTATTCTTTGTTATCTTCATTTTTCCACATGAGAGAAAAATGCTGAGTAGTACTTAGTCATAGTGTTGTTATAAAGACTAGATGAAACCCTGGTGGGTTTGAACTGCCAGCCTTCTGGTTAGCAGTCAAATGCCTTACACACTGGGCCACCAGAGCTCCTATGTGAGATAATGTGTGTGTATGAATATGATGTGATTATGTACTGAGAACCAGTTTGAGTGCTTTTAAGAGCATGGGGCTCTGGAATCAAAGTATTCAAATCCTGGTTCTACTATTTGCTAGCTATGTGACCTTTCTTCTATGTTTTAATTTCACTGTGTATAAAATGAGTCTAAAATAGTTGCAATAATTAAATTAGTTAATATATTCAAAGCTCTTAGAATAGTACCTGAGATAAAGTAAGTGCTTTAGTGCTTTTTAAGTGGTTACTTTTTATTATATAAAATTTTATACAGGCAAAGCATAAAATAGTAAACAGTTGTCTTAAAAGTGAGTTAAGTCTTTGGTTAATACATTAAGGAGTTATGGCTAAATCTATCAGTAAATTTATGTGAATTTTAGATTAAGGTTGGCCTTCACTAATGGGAGAGAAGTGGTACTTAGTTGATAATCTAAATATATACGAAGTAAGGATAAGCATTCATTTGTAAAATTTAGATTATGAGGTTTCTGAAGGCCAAAATACTATTCCTTGTTTGTTTTCTGCATCTATAGTAACTATTGTAAACAATACTTTTCAAGTGAAGAAAAATGAATTTTAAGAAAAATTTTAGAAGATAGGTTTGTATTCTCAATGTCTTTGTCACTTGTAAGAGTTACCTAAAATATCTTTAAGACATTCATGTCTTCTCAGTTGCTTGTTTCTGTTCTAACAGATTACCCATTCTGTTTCCATAAGCAGTGTAATTGGATTTACTGATAAGCATGTTTATGTTCAGCGCTCAAACTCAACTGGTGGGCGCTCTCAAAATGCTGGTTTCGATCTATAAGTCATTCTACGTACCGAACTAGTTTTTCAGAGTTGCTAGAAGGAAAGATTGATTTATCAAATTTAAAAAAAAAAAATTCTATTCAGATTATCTTTGACATTTGTGAAGATTTAGGAGATATGCCTAGCAGTAATGAAAACAAGCCTTGTAAAGTTTAATGTGAGCTGATTAGCTATTTGAAATTTATATTTGTGGAAAATAGAAAGTATTCTTTGTCCACAGAATTACTTACTAGATGGATGGGGACTTTTGAATTCACAACTCTTATAACTGCTTTGAATTCACAACAACTTAGGCTTAATAGAATGTCTTTGCATATTGACACATGAAGGAAAAACATTTTTCAGGGTAATTTACCCATAAGTCCATAATCATTCACATTAGAAAGTTTCTTATTTATGAAAATGATCTTTTTAAAGAACAGCAATGATTGTCATGAAAAGTGGATTTATATTCCAAATCTGATTGTACTTACTCTTAGCTATATGGCATTTACATAAAATTTATACTTTTAGTATGATAAATCATAAATGTCTCACCACAGGAAAATATAATCTTTTACACTATTTAAATCAAAGCTTTGTTAGCACTTGAATGATAATACTTTACCAATCCAGTTCTTTAAACACTTCATTTTACCTCCTTGTTGATGAGAATTTAGAGCCAACCACTTGTTGGCTCTAAGTTTCATTAGCCACCTATGTACATGAAAATGAAACAATAACTTTATAGTTATCTTAATTTACACCCACTCTCTGGTTTTTGGTATTCTCTTCTTGCATGTTTCATTATTATAGTTGTTAAAAATATTTAACTTTGACCTCTGGAGCAATAAATTTAGACAGCTCAGCAATTAAATAATCAGTTATTAGAAGCACTACTCTCTTGCTAAAGTTTTATAGAGAGCAAAATTACATACACACACATGCAGTATAAAAAGTATTTGAAAGTTTATGACTTTTAATTTTAGAAAATTATTTCCCATGAAGTGATTTCTTTCCTCTTGATTCTGCTTTATGTTTGGGTTAAGTAGAACCCATTATGGTTGATCTTTTTACCTCAAAAACTAACCTACTAATATATTACTGTATGTTTATAACCTCTAAAACACTGAATCATTAATATTCCACAGAATAAAGTTATCACTACCAGCAGAAAATTAGTACCCCTTCTAAAAAAAATCTGTTGAGCTAATGGTAAGTTAATAAGCCAGTCTAGCCACTTATTTTATTGTTTCCAGGATGTTAAAAAATGTTTTTAATAATGTTTCCTCCCCATCACACTTCCTTAATTTTCAATTGATCCATTATTTAAAGGGTTTATAAGTTTCATATATCTTTTAATTAATTGTTATGGTTATTTGTAAAATGTAGAAATTATTGTGCTGAACTGTGTGTTAACAATTTTTTAACAGAAGCAAATTAAAATATTTCATCTCTTCATGTCTTTACAGGGTATCCCATCCCCTTCCCTTGTCAGCCTTCCATCCTTCTTTGAAAGGAGAAGTCATACTTTAAGTAGATCTACAACTCATTTGATATGAAGCTTAAAAATTTTGTATTATAGAAACTTATAACCACCTCATATCAAACAAGAAACTGACATAATCGTGCTTGTCATTAGCACATGACAGGAGTTGGAAAGAAGATAGGTAACACTAAACTATGCCATTTGATTTTCTTCTTGAAAAGTAATGTTTTACCTCTTAGATTTTCAGAGTTAATTCATGTAAAAAACCACATTGATTTTGATGTAATTTATTTCTATGCTCAATTCCCTCATTTGAACACAGGTAATTTAAGTTATTCATGATATCAGTATCTTTGTACCCCTAATATAGCCAATAACTTTTATTGGTGGTACCAAATACTGTTATAAATCTACTTGTATATTGTCCATTAGTGAATTTATGGGAATACATATCTGTGTAGCTCAATTTCTGCAGAATTAAATGATATTATAATACTTAATGGATAAAAACCTGCAAAATTCCAGACTACATAGTGGAGCCTTATTTCACATGTGTTATTTGAAGTAGTTCTTTAACTGTTACTTTTACACAGATTATATTCTTTTCAAATGTTTTCAAGATCTAGCATATGAATTTGAAAAGCTTTGCTCTTACTAACAAGGAAAACAGTTAAAGGAGATTGTTTTAAAATACTTGTATAAATTAAGATAAGGACAAATTATTTTTAAATTTTGTATATTTTGCACAAACAACATTGGTGTATACTTGTAGCTTTTTCAAAGACAATGTATTTATGGTGATTTTAATCACTAGCAAATCTTAATTTAGTTTGATGATGTGTGGAATTTAATTTCAATGGATAAGACTGTGGAAAAATTGTAAAGAGTCTTTATATCCTTTATGAAATAAAGTTTTACCAACTGACAATAGAATGCATAGGTAAATTTATGGTCAACTTTTTATTGTGAATTTATAATGAAATGTAAATTGACATACATTTATTTGCTGTTGTAAAATATTCTTCAAGTCTTGCTTGACGTTATCTTTCACAATAGGTTTTTTTTTTTTTTAAATAGTACCACAAAATGATCAGGTTCCTATGAATAAGGATATTTTTTTTCCTCTACTTCTCTTAGTAATGCAAACGTTTAATTGCCATTTGACCATTCTCAATGATCTGTTTTAAAGGTTTAACTGACTATATAGAGTTGCTTTTCTATTCTGTGTACGTACCACTTTGGAGGATAGGAAAATGATCCTTTAGTGCTGTATTTTATAAACACAGTTGTATTAGTAAGACGTTTGTAAATAAATACTCAGAACTTAAAAGTTATTTAAGTCTAATGTTTTAATTTCTTCACACACACATTTTAATAGACCAATATAAATGCTTATATCAACCTCTGTTGTGTTTATTCATTTTGTTACTTATTTGCTTTTTCTGCTTTGTAGAATGGAGATTGTGGTATTTTGCAGGGGGAGTGGAAGTGAAATTTTGTGTATATGTGCATGGATGCATTTTTTCAGACAGAAAATATATCACTAGTGTCATTTTATTGTGATCCCCCCTAAAATGGGGCTTTCTAGGTAGAAAAAGTGGTGTGAGAAAAGCTAAAGTTGGAAAAATAATAAATGTACATTTGCAACAGATTGTTTAACAAGAATGGTTTTTTAGTTTTCATCATTAACTATACCTTTTCTAGGTTTTCAGAATGTTCCTGTTATCAGCTGAAGTTTCTTTACATTTATTCTTTATCTGTTAAGTTGCTTTATCATGTATGGATATTAAATGTAATCAACTTATTCCTCTTTATTGAAAAACTTATTTTTACTTATTGGTATTTAATCTACTAGATGATATTAATAAACTCTAATGTTAACTCACTCTTAAATTATTGATACACCCTACTTAGGCATGATGTATTGAATACAAGACCATGAAAAATCTAGAATCAAAGATATGAAAGACATAAACAAAAATGTTTAATTCCTTTCCAGATTGGACAATCTGGAGGAACTAGGGCACAATACAGCCAAAGTTGACCCAAGAAGAGGCAGAGAATATAATCATCAAATAAATAGAACCATAGTTTCTTTGTCTAAAGAAAGAAGGAATCCGTTACATGACATCAAGTATGAGTACTCTACTATAACTAACTGCCATCAAGTCGGATCCGACTCATAGTGACACCTCCTTGGGTTTCTGAGGCAGAAGTAGATTGCCTGATCTTCCTTCTGAAGAGTGGCCGGGGGGTTTGAACCACCAGCCTTCTGGTTAGCAGTTGAATGCCTTAGGCTCTATGCCACCAGAGCTCCTAGCACGACTACAGGATATGTTGTTGTTATGTGCCGTCGAGTCGGCCCCGACTCATAGCGACCCCTCCTTGGGTTTCCGAGGCAGTATCACTACAGAAGTAGGATTGCCCAACCTTCCTTCCGAGGAGTGACAGGATATATATATTTAAAAAAAACAACAAAAAACTCCACTGCCATCAAGTTGATTCCAACTCATAGTGACCCCTCCTTGGGTTTCCAAGGCAGTATCTCTATGGAAGTAGATTGCCCAATCTTTCTGGTTAGCAGTCAAATGCTTTATGCACTTTGCCACCTGACCTCCCACAGGATATAGCATATTACATTAAACTGAAACTTGATATGTTCTCATCTGTTACGTCACCCTCCTCAGACAAAAAATTTAAGTATATTCCTCAATCAGTGCCATTACAAATCCAGAATGGATGGTGCTTTTCAGAAAGCTCCATTACTAATGCTAATAAACTTTTTGAACTCCTTTAGGACATCAAGTAAATGTTCTAAAAATAGAGAGTTTCAACACTAGCAAATAAATCAATATGACTTATGTTGATAATTTATAGGAGAAAATGTATATGATATATTAAAAGATTCCAAAATGTCATTTAATAAAATTCAGGCACTATCCTTAATAAAAATTCTAAAGGCTTTTGATAACATGACTGACTGATAAGCTGATACATTCATGGTAAATGCCTTTGTTATGGAAACATCAAACTTTTTTTATGAAATATAACTAAAAAGTAATTTTAATATATAACTGATATTAAAACTAAGGAAATCACTAGGTGTTGTAAATTGGGGAAATCACAGTGATAAATGCAAACTGATACCACAGGTGAGCTGAAAGGAGTTAGTACCAAGATGTAGGCCTGAAGAGGTTGAAGAGTAAATCCCTGCATCATGCTGATGGAGGTGTAGGAGATAGTACATTGGGACCATGAGATATGGATCTTGAATTAGAGCTCTGGTGGTGTAGTCCCAAAGGCATTTGACTGCTACGCAGAAGGTTGGCAGTTCAAACCCACCAGCTGGTCTGCAGAAGGAAGATGAGGCAATCTACTTTGGGGGTCATTATAATGTGGAATTGACTCAATGGCAGTGAGTTTGATTTTTTTATATAGATCCTAAAACTTAAAAAAATCTGCCATACTGATTAAAAATGGCTTAGGGATATGTGGTGTAGTAAATTACTTAGTGTGGCTTTTCTACCCATAAGTCTTTGTAAACTCCAAGGTGGGATTTGCTATGAGCAACTGAGGAGCTCTTGATTCTAAATGTTATCCACCTGGGTTATTTCTATTGGGTATGGCACAACACAATGTTATGGGAGGCTCACTCTCAGGTGCTTAGAATTCTGTTGTTATGATTGGTTGGTTTGGCCACTCTGCCAAGCTCAAAAGGAGGCCTCCTAGAGGCAGAACTCTCTCTCTGACTGCTGGCTGAGGAAGAGACACATGCTGCTGGGAAAGAGACTCAAGAGACACGCATTGCTGAGTAAGACACTGAGGGGCATGCACTGCTGGGGGAGAGACTGTGAGAGACTTGGCTGAGAGATGGCGGGCTGGGGAGAGAGACAGCATTTTTCCTGAACTCGAATTGTAGCCTGTGCTTCCCTAATAAACCCCATAATCTTTGAGTTCTGTGTGGCCACGGCAGTGAATTATCGAAGCCAGGAGAGAGGTGGTGGTGCTTTGGGAGGAACAGTTGACGAAAGGGCTGACGGGAGGCAGCATGTCTGGCCTTGCAGTAATAGGCCTTGGGCTATTGATGGTGATTCTGTCTTCCTATTTTGGGATTAGAGGAGGTCAGAACATGTGGCCTTGCCCTTTTTGCAGGATATGAAACCCTCTTTTAAAAAAATAGAAAAACTGACTGAAAAGAGATTTAAAAACAAAAGAGTAAAAACCATGAGGATAGTAAACAGAAACAGCCAATAAAATTTGTACTCCAAGACTGGAAATAATGAATCAATTAAAATGGTACTTGAACATAATATAATGATATTGGGAAGAAGGATGCAGCCATCCACTTCTCAAAAACTTGGCCAGTGGAAACCTTAGGATTAGCAGTGAAATACTGTCTGATACATAATGGGAAAACTATGAATAACCCTGAAACACTGATGCAATTGGAAGATGAACCACTCAGGTTGGAAGGCAATCAAAATGTGACAGGAAGAGCTACCTCCTCAAAGTAGAGTCAGTCTTAATGACATGGATAGAGTAAAGCTCTTGGGACCTCCATTTGCTGGTGGGGCATGTCTCAAAATAGGAAGAAACAGCTGCGAACATCCATTAATAATCAGAACATGGAATGTGTGAAGTATGAATGTAAGAAAATTGGAAGTTGTCAAAAATGAGATGGAACACATGAAGATTGATATCCTAGGCATTAATGAGCTGAAATGGGGTGTTTTTGTCCATTTTGAATCAGACAGTTATATGGTCTAGTATGCCAAGCCATGGTATTTTCAATCGCCTCTTATGCCTGTGAGAGCTGGACAATGAATAAGGAAGACTGAAGTAGAGTTGATGCTTTTGAGTTGTGGGGTTGGAAAAGAACGCTAAGAGTACCCTGGTCTGCTAAAAGGACTAACAAATCTGCCTGGGAAGATGTGCAGCTGGTATGTTCCTTGGAAGCGAGAATGGCCAGACTACGTCGCACCTACTTTGGTCATGTTCTCAGAAGGAAGCATTCCCTGGAGAAGGATATCATGCTTGGTAAAGTGGAGGGTCAATGAAGAAGGAAAGGCCCTCAATGAGATGGATAGACATAGTGGCTGCAATGATGGGCTCAGGTATAGCAAGGATCATGAGGGTGGCACAAGACTGGGGACTGT